ACTTTGCTCTTGGTTGAAGTCTTGTAAGTCAGTAGGTCTGTCAGGTCTGGTTGCCCAGATACCAAACAAAGTCAGGGAGAAAAAAGGGAAGAAGAATGGAAGGAAGGAAGGAGGGAGAGCAAAGAAAAAAGAAGTGCATCAATTTGAGGGTCGATGCTAAAATTAATTTTGGGATTGGTTGTTGAAGAAAAATTATAATTTTGGTTGGACCTAAAGTCGCACGATTTAATTTTGTTCACAGTGCGAGTCGCGGCCTTGTGTGCTTGCGAACTTGCTCGACTGTGTAGTCTACTTACTCGCGCAACAAAGTGTTGTTATGCGATTCCGCTTGACTATAACGTAGCTGCGCTTGTTTTTTGATGTAGTCCCTTAGGTAAGGGATGTCAAAGTCTCTGTGAAAGGTCTCGTTGGAAACATACCATGGGGTGTTAGTGATTGTACGCAAGGTTCTATTCTGTCAAACCTGCAGGCTACGCAAATGCGTTTTGGCGAGAAAACACCAAGCCGCACTTGCGTAAGTGATCGCTTTTCTAATGACCATCTTGTATAGCCGAACTTTGTAGGTCAAACTTAATTTTGATGTTCTACATAGCATAGGGTAGAGTTGTCGAAACGAGATTTGGAATTTAGTTTTTAATGCTTCAGTGTGCTTCTGCCAGGTCATCCCCTTATCAAAAGTGACACCGAGATACTTAGCAGAGCTTTCCCATGGTACCCGAGCTCCATTCACTGAAACCTCAGACGTTGCGCCGCTACGTTTTTTAGTACAATAGATTCCCTGCGTTTTCGAATGATTAATTTTGATCAGCCACCGATTCGCCCATTCCAATACCTTATCTACTGCACTTTTCAGTCTGTCGTGAACTAGATCCCCAGAGCACGACTTGGCCACCAGGGCAGTGTCATCAGCATAGAGATAGGTTTAACATTTGCTGGGGCAAGGGACGTCATGAATAAAAAGTGAATAAAGGACTGGTCCAAGAACCGAACCCTGAGGAACACCGGCTTTGATGGGCCGTGTTGTCGACAGAACGTTATTAATTTTGATCCGAAATTTCCTACCCTCGAGGAAGGATTTAAAAAGTTTTAGGAGCCAGAAGGGGAAGTCCTTATGGATCAATTTGTAGAGAAGGTCCTTGTGCCACACCTTGTTAAATGCCTTTGAGACATCCAAAAGCAAGATGCCAGTACTTTCGTTACAGGTGAACCCCCTGATTACTCCTTCAACAAGCCTCATGGCCTGTAGCTCCGTACTATGCTCAGACCGAAAGCCAAATTGCAGCTCAGGAATCACATTGTGATCTGCCGAGAAATTTTCAAGATGACGTAGAATCACCTTTTCAGCGAACTTAGAAGGAGCTGACAGTAGACTAATGGGGCGGTAATCCTGGGGGAATATCGAACCCACCTTCTTTGGAATCATTATGACATCAACGGTCTTCCACGCCGTTGGGGTGTGCTGGTTCCTTAGCATAGCATTGATTATTGCCACGAGATAAGTTAAGGACTTTCGCGAAAGTAGCTTCAGCGCCTTATTTGTGATTCGGTCCTCTACAGGTGCTTTGCGCAACTTGAGGTCTTTAATATGACCTTGGAGCTCTGCTGGTGTGCAATGCGGAGTCTCGGGAGATTCCGCTGATGTGCCGCTCTTCAGTTGAGGAATCTTCTGAAGATTCCTCTGAGGAGAAATCACTAAGTGAGGCACTACTGCCACTGACGCCGTTGGCCCTAAAATATCTCCTGATGGATCTTACAATATGACCTTATATTACCAATATACGACCTTTTCGTCTGTCCTACAGACTATGCCATTAGGACCGTGGATGTGCGGGAGTTCTCACTTTCCGTTTCTGAGCGACTTTGCAACTTTCGAGAGAGGAATTCATGAAGAGCATTTCTCACTTCATGAGCAAGATTTGTTGCTCTGTGAATGTTATCTGGGTGACAAGACTTCTTCGCTTGCTTAATTGCAGTTCTTTTGTCAGAAATTTTCTGACGAATGTTTGCAGGGAGAGGAGATAAATCCGACTGGCTTGCTCACCATTACCGTGTGCAAGGCCATATACGTAATGCATTTCCGCCATTTCTGCATTCGAATAATTCACCATTATTAATAAGGTTGTAAAAACTAAATAATGAAAAAGAAGCGAACAGAATTGAATAACAGAGTCCTGTCAAATGTCAAAAGCCAGTGACATATTCCAGAGCAACTAGATATCTATTGCTAAATTGCATTCTTCAATTATTACATTAATTTTCTCGGACACTAGAACGGTTTTTATTTTTTTACTCAAAAATGGCGCATCGAAGGAAAACAATTCAGATCATTTGTTTCAAATTGAACGGGGAATTCAAAAATAATTTTTATTTGACTAAAAACTATTGCCATACAATTTTTTCTTAAAAAATATCGAAGTGAATACCCGTACGCACGCCACTGTTAAATCTGGAAATTATTTTTGCATTGAAGAATATGCAACTTCATCAAATTTCCCTACGTACTAAATATCAGTGGAATATCTGGAGCGGTTCTGTGAATATTAATTAATTTCCATTTTTTTCCTAAAGCTTCAACGCGAGTTTTGGTAAGGAAACATTTTTGGACCATAGTTTATAAAGCAAAGTAACATTAATTTTTCATGTAGATTCACACCCTTGAATATTCGCATATCATCAAGGAACACACTGTATGTTATATGCCTTGGAAAACCAGTGATGGAAATGATATAAAGCAGGAGTTAAAATCACATACTCGTAACATTTATATTCCAAAGACAATGATTTCCTTAGAAAATCATAACCTGTTGACTGGTAGCCAAATAAACAGGATTTTTCTCCTATAAGTGACTGACGATTATTAAGTAAAGACAAATGATAAATGAATATGCGTAAGTACTTGGATCCGATGTCCCAGTCATGGTTTGGATATACTGGGGGACCTCCTCTGCTCAAAGTGTTCGCTTTGCCTATGCTTTTCTATTTGTCAGTTGTATAAAAAACATTTTTGTTCCAGGCAATAAAGTGATAGACTTTGGAAAAACGCTTGTTGGGTTGAAAAAACAAATCGGTGGTCAGAACGTCGAAATTAACGTCTGTTTAATTGACGAAGCCTCTAAAAGAATTGACAATCTGCCAGACGATTTGGCAAACCTTCTAGTACAATGCAAAAGCCATGTCGCTGCTTCACTGAAAAATTATACGGATGATATTAAGACTCAGGTATAGTATGAGTATGATAATTTAGATAAATAAGTAAAAATAACCCAGAACAGGTAATCCTATGTCATCAAGAGCTTTGTCCCAACCTTTAGTGCTAGTATCGTACCAGAACCTATCGTGGTTCTAGGATCGGAATCGTTTTGTGCCTAGAAATTGACAGGATAGCCAATGTTGCCTGATCTACCTATTTGTCGGCATAGCTATGAAGAGCTTTAGATGTTCTATTTAATTCGCTTATTTAGCGTCAATGTTGATTACACTTGACCCTCTCTTGAAGTATGACATGGTTTAAATAAATTTAAATCGTAACTTTAACTTATTAGAAGGTAATTTGAAATTGAAATAAAAATTAAATATTTTGGGTGTAACGTTTGATCAAAACATGAGATTCCTTCCACCTGCAACAGCATTATTCAAAAATCATGTACAAATTTTTGTATGCAAATAAACATGTATTAAGTGCTGACGTTAAAAGAGCTTCATGTGAATCAATGGTTTTATATATGTGGTACATTACTCTGATATCTTATATTACAGTTGCCTGGACTGTGATAAAGATGCGTTTGCAATAAGTTCAAAATCCCTGATGTAGATTTGTTTAAGGACTAAAAAATATGATCATATATCAGCAACGATGAAGTAAAACTGGTTGGCTGACTGTGGAAAGAAAACTGTACTCTACTATGTCTATCTTACATTTGTAAATGAATCAGCAACGACTTCCACCCTACCATATTCATTTGAAAAACTTACACTTTCTAAAGTTAAGGCAAAGAGATATAACTTGAGCATATCTCGTGACCATTCATCCATTCAACGCTATTTCAGAGAAGATATTTTTTCTTTGAGGATACTGATTTTGATTCTGTGTATTACATTTTTCTGAATTATTGTGTAGTGTATGTACATTTTAAATATATAAATAGCCTTTGGCTAAATTTCGGCCTTCATAAAGCCGGTATATTTTATTATTGTATGAATCCGCAAATACGTAGGTACATTCACTCCAACAAACCACGGAACTGGTATTTTTCGATCTGGCAACATTGCTGGTAGCTGTCAGGATCATATAAACTAACCGCCATTTACCGTTTGTTCTGGTTTATAGCTTTATAGCTGTTCTGCGCATGTCAGTTCCTTTAGTTCTCAGTTCAGTGTAGGCACCGATATCACCATAACAAAACCGTCCCAAGTCGATCCCAAAACGGGTTGGAACACAATGCAGAACCGTTCTGTTACTGTGACGGACAAGGTTGGAACACTTTTTCCTAAATACGCAAGCGCGTCGCATATGTACATTCATTTCGGGCCTGATGAAGTCAACCAGCAGAAATACGTATCGCTCGGGTAACCTATCCTATTTTTTGCACGAATCCACTTTCATCCTTTTTGCGGATTTTGCCCTTTATTTTCCTACTTTTTGTTATACCTGTATACCTTTCTCCGCATGATCGTTTTCTCTTTGTAGATCCTTTGGGCTTGAAGTACCACAGCAAGTGGCTATAATCGGCCGCGTGGTTATGGTTAGATGTTTCCTTGATAATTCGAGGTCTTTTAGCCATTTTATACTACAATGTGTAGGTTGGCTCTTGTTGTGGACTTCGTGTGTCGATTTTTTCCCTCGAAATCTTCGTTTCCTCAGGTTACACCCGTATCCGGATGTGTGGACATGTGTATCTACCTTTGTAGTTGCATATGTATATTCATTTCAGACCTGATGAAGCCAACCAGCAGAAATACGTATCGTTCGGGTTATCTATCCTATTTTCTGCTCAAATCCACTTTCATCCTTTTTGCGGATTTTTTCCATTATTTTCCTACATTTTGTTATATATATATATACGAGGGATGTCTTTTAAGTTTTGCATATGGAAATAAAACAGCAGGGTAGATAGTTTTAAATGACTTTATTGTTTTTCGAAGTATTCTCCACGAAGATTAATACACATCTGCATGCGCATTTTTGAATGAGTCAACTGCTTCTTCTGGTGACTGGAACGTTTGACCACGCATTATATTTTTAATTTTCGGGAAAGTAAAGAAATCGTTGGGACTTAGATCGGGACTATATGGAGGATGGTCCAATAATTCCACGTTTTCTTTCGTTAAACACTGCCTTGTTCTTTGAGCTGCGTGCGAGCTTGCATTGTCTTGGTGGAGGGTGATTCTTCTTTCGGGGTTGATTTTTCGAAGCTCGGTGATGACTTTTGGCAAACAAATGGTGGTATACCAATCCGCAGTAACAGCTCTTTGCTCATTAAAAGGAATTGTTGCAATATGACCCGCTTTTGACACAAATGTCGCGACCATCTTATTCGAAACACTTCGAGAACGGATGATTTTTGTTGGTTTTTCTTCACCTTGGAACACCCAAACAGCCGACTGTCGTTTATTTTCTGGTTCATAACAGTAAATCCACGATTCATCACCACTAACAATGCTGTACACATTTTTTGAGAAACGGTCAAACGTTTTTTGACACCAATTAACCCTGGCTGCTTTCTGCTCTTCAGTCAACAGGTGGGGTATCCAACGAGAAACTAATTTTCTTACTCCTAATTCTTCATGTAAATTTTTTTGAATTGAGGTCTTTGAGATCTTCAAGGATGCCTCAATCCCGCTATATGTCACATGTCTATCTTCAATGATGAGTTTGCGCACAGCATCGGCGTTTTCCTGGGTGACTGCCGTTTTAGGTGCACCCACCCTGTGATCGTCGCTAAGACTCACCCGTCCACGTTTGAATTCTCCATACCAACGGGAAATTGTCGACTGATGTGGCGCTTCGTTGCCGAAAACAGACAGTAACACAGCAAGGCATTCTTGTTGCGATAATCGTCTCTGCAAGTTGTAATAAACTATGGCGCGAAAATGTTCTCGGTTGAGTTACATTTTTCTAATGACATGGTGACACTTGAAAATTCACTGTAGTGAGAACATTTCACGTATTGTTGTGAAACTTTGAATTTAAGTTTACTAAACAGTGAGGTTAAGATTCAGTAGTGACGTTCGATTCGCGCGGCCTACTATGTTTCTATATACAAAACTTAAAAGACATCCCTCGCATATATATATATATATATATACATGTAATTAATGTTTATTCAAAAGTATCAAGTACTCTCATTTTCTTGCAGCTAACAAGGATATCCAATGAAACCTACGTCCTTGTGAAACAGGGTATTAAATGCGGAAAAAATTACAAGTTTGGCTGTATCACGAACGTTGCTCTCGAAATCTCAAAAGCCATCATCAGAGTTCCTGGAGAAATCGCGTATCAAATATCCGACATAACGCAACTGGCAACGTCGTTCATGAAACAAGCATACTCATGTGTAAAAGTATCTGTGGCAAAAACAATCAAGATGGGCAAAAAATTGGTGAAACAAGTTGAAGAATGTTCCAAGGAGCACGCTCTTCCCACAGCCACTATTAGTTAATAAATAACAGCGACGTATTGTCAGTCGTTCCTTCATTTGTAGGACGCCTTTATGGCCTCCTTGATTTTCATAGCTTTAAACATTTCCTTGTCAGCGTTCTATCTATCTATCATTTATTATAACATCCTGAAATTTTCTACAATTCAAAAAGGAAACATAGCCTCACAATAGCAGAGCGCTGACCCTGACACGGAACAGTGGAAATCTAGAAATACCCCAGCCTTTCTGAAGTAGAGGAAAGATTATGGAAATTGAGGAGGTCATAAAGGCGTCCTACAATTTTAGAAACGACTGACGATACGACCCCTAGTTCCTGTACCTTCCTAAATCAGCTCACCTCTCATTATAAATAACCCTTCAAATTGTGGCGTTTCCTCCTTCCTTTTTTGTAATTAATTAATAAATTAATAAAACACGATATAAATAAAATCAAATGTTGAGTCAATGCAAAACAGCTGTCTAGTGGCGTGCAAATTTAGGCCTAGCTCAATAAAGCGGAGAGTAGGGGGGTTAAGAGCGCCAGTGACTCAAGACGGATTAAGCCATAAATCCTCGAGAAGAATAATCACAATATATTAACTGTTTGTTAACACATACGTTCCGTAATAAAATGTTTCACAACAATATGCTCCACAATAAAAATGTTCCACCACTGGAGTGCAAAGTGCAAGTTAAAAAAGATATTATCTACAATTGTTGCACAAAGGGGTGTTTAAAATGTAACACCGCTAATCGTCTACCGTGTTATACGGTTTTACAAATATTAAAGGGTCTAAACCTAAACTTGGGTGATTGTGGTCTTCTTCCAGTTCAGTCTGTAGGCGCAGCCGAGATGATCTCAGCTGTGACCAGTAGTGGACAGAGACGTAAGGCACTTCACAAATTAGGGGCTGCTTGCCTCGTATTCAAAATTTATAGTGCGAAAAACCTTAGAGAGAGTGAGACTGCTCAAAAATTTACTCTATTCCCTTTATGAGACAAGTCTACTCATTAAAACACCCGAACTTGAAAAAGCCATGTACCTTTTTGACAAAAAGAGTAAAGCAAAGGCAAAAAAAGGGAAATGTATTAAAGTGATATACCCTCAAAAAGTTATCCATTATTCTAAAAAAGGTATGGCAGCTCAGAAATCAAAATCATGATCAATGTAATAGAGTAAGCTCAATAGAAGGTGGCAATGTAGGCATTGCCGCACATTTGAACAAAATCAAGTACACTCTAAGAATTTCAGTCAAGTATAATCAGTAAAAATCTATAAGAGTTAATTAAAATGATATTTTACCCGCTTACATCAAGGTTTTTTTCAAGACAAAGGGGTCGTTCGCAGCAAAATCAGCTACGAAACAGCTACAAAGCTGGACGGTGATTTCCTCAATCCCTTCTCACGCTGAAGAGGTTAAAATTCCATAAAAACGGAGATAGTAGCACCCAAACAACATACAAAACAAACAAGTAAAGGTAATGTAGGTACAAAAAGGGGTACTACTCCATAAACTTGTGATTGGGGCCCAATATCCCAAAATTTGAAAATCAAACGAAAGACCGATACACCTTAACCAGAACTTCAACATGAAATATGACCGACAGTCAGTTGACTGTCATTCAATGTCAAAAGTTGCCTATGGGTGGACCCTAGATAACCAACTTTACGAGATACCATCGATATTTGATGAGGAAATTTCTGAGATAGTCATTAATAAAATATTATAACATTAGTGTCCGAAAGATTTCCACACAATACTGAGTCGCTAAGAAAGAAATATATGTGTGTATATACTTTCCGGATTAGGCAGTTTCCAGATCAGTATATCATTATGAAATATGCCAGAAGAAAATTATCAAAGAGAGTTTGGCCTAGGAATTGATACTCTATCTTTAAAAGGCTAAGTTATTTTGGTTCATTACAGTCCCCCTATTTGCTTTATACTTAAGAAGGTGGGGTTTGAAAGAAAATGGACCAAAAAGTGGGCCGGCAAAGTCCGGATTATTGTTCCTTGACCTTGTCTACAAACCCCTAAAAATGGTCATCTTCAATAATTCAAAACTTGACCTTCATTAAATGCAATCCGAAACCAATGTTTTGTTTATCGCAAAGTGTATCGGCAGCTGACATTTTTTAAATACACAGGGCGTCCCAAAAGTCATGGAAAGGTAATAATAGGGGGTCATTTCCAATCAGAAAAGTCATGTATGTCCTTATCCAAATACGCACGCGTCTTCAGTTACCGCCATTTAGAAGAATTTGAAAAAGGTCGCTTCCTTTCTACATGCGCTGGATGTAACTGAGTTTGTAAAATGTGAGGACTCCACTTTATAAACAGATATCAAATAAGAATAGCTCAAGGAACCATAAACCGGATCTTGCCGGTCCATTTTCTTTTAAAGCCCCTCGCCCGCCCTCTTAGGTATAAAGGAAATAGTTGGAGTACAGGTCATGATGCGATTTGAGTGGTTATTTTAATCAATTTATCAATTAAATGGACTTATCTGTGCAGTTCGAAGGCAGTTATATGAAGTGTCCACTCCGAAGATATTTAGAAGGTAGTACGTTTCTGGTTCAGCATGCCGCCTCCCCACTCCTCATTCAGTTGAAAGTCTTCGGCCAACCTAATCGTATGGGCAAGGTAGCTCGAATTTGCTAGAATTTGAATTCATAAATGTTTTCTTTATTGGTGGGTGCTTATATATTCGGAGTGGACACTTTATATTCTCGTAGCTGCGATCAAACTTCATCGAACAACACGTTCCAAAGTAACTGCCCTAGGACGGAGCCCTACGGCATTACCATGCTTACCTCCATCGTCTTTTGTCGTACCATAAGTTGCTTATAACTTGATAACCAATCATGGAAGCACTCATGCTGTAGCAATCTTCTTTTCTTGCAAGTGCCTATCCGAATACGAAATAAAATATGGATCATTCTCTTTAAAAGATTTTTTTTAAGAATGTGCTATCGACTACTCGTAAGGAGCTTCAAAATGAAGTATCACGCGACCTCACATTATATTTGGAAAAAGCTCCATCTGCTACCTTGATAATTTCAACTGCCACTTTTACGCTAAGATTCAGTATTCATACATCAATTTCATTACCCCGATCAGCATACAAACTTGACCCGTTCAAAAATGAGTAGGGGGAGCTTTTTAAAAAGCTTTTTAAAAAGTATAAATGCGTGGAAAGCATCAACTTGATCCACTTCTCATAATTTCTCTAGTTAACTGAGATTAAAGATGCATTTGAAGTAATAAAAATGGAACTCATGTTACAGCAGGGTAGAGTACCTTCACAAATCTACAGTGTTATGTCTGAAACGGTAACAAAGCTCAATAGCATTAAGGATGAAGGTGTCGCTTGCATAACGAATGCCATCGACAAGGAAACCTAAGCTAACGTGGAGTCACTGGAAAAAATTTTCACAAACAGACTTCTGAGGGAAACCAGGGTAGAAAACTGCAGTTGTATGGATATGACTTCTAAAGAATGACAATAGAGTGCATGTATACCTGTATTTGTGTCTAATCACCTAAATTCAATTTTTCAGGACCAAGTTCTCCTTACTTTGGTTAGATCTGGTATTGATTTGTTGATGATTTGTTGTCTGTTAATGGTTTTATAACTCTATCCAGAATATAGAAGGTAGAATGGCAGTTACAGGATAAGTTCATAAAACAGGTAGCACCAGATTAATGGTACTTAGCCCATTTTGTCTATCTTCCGCAGAAATTATTTATGGTATCTAATTACTTAAAAGGTATTTTGGAAGGCCATAGCATCCAGAAGTTCTTCATAGCTATGAAAACCTTGTATGCCCATCAAATACATACATGGTTTTTCTGATTGTAAGTAACCCTCCTCCCCGCCATTCGTTCTGGGGCTTAATGTATATTATTATTTTGAATCCCTAGTTTTCTCGTAGTGTTGGTAAATAACAATAGACAGTATTAGTGTAAAAATATTAATTCATTCATCTCAACAACAAGTCAACAAATCATTTCTTTGCATCGGCAACACACTTGGTGACACTGAGCAGCAACTTTCCAGACTCAACGCCAACTCTGATCAAAGCATCGGTTGCACACTTGGGTATCTGCAACTTCAGTCCTTCAATCAAAGTCACAGTCTTAGCCGCTTGATCTGCGATAGCTAGAGGGATCTGTACGATGTCCACACCAATTCTGATGGACAGCTTGGCTAGACAAGGGATGGCAGCCAAATCGTTTCCGCATTTGCCGATTTCGTCACCGATGATGGTTATTTCGTCCAATGTGTGTTTGATCTAGAACAGAAATATGTATTAAGAATCCCAAGCGTCTAGAAATGGTTAAATAACCTAGTAATGTATTCGTATTTAATCAACATGTGCAGGGTGATTCGAAACGCAAATGGTTCATTTACTATACTCAGTATTTCTAGATTCTACAGGGTATTTTCAAAGGGCGATTTTATAGACTATAATTATCCTCTGACAATTTTCAAAACACAGATTAATTTTGGAGGTCAGGCGTCTAAAAAAGGCTAACAAATGGATTTACTTGAATAAGAATATACATTGCTTTTCATAAAGGTACCCCTTCCCTTCTTACCTTATGAATACATCAGATAGCCAGTTAGCCAGCCGAAATTCTGGGTCGAGTGATTGATGCATAGAAGCGGGGAGTCACCTTGGATCATTTTTTTAATATAATCGGCGTCTCATTTTTAAGTTTCTAATGACCTCATTATTTATTATAATATTTCATCACAATTTTCCAAAACCACGTAAGTCACTTATAATTTAACAACCAATCATAGTGGATTCTATATCGCCCTGTTTTTGGAAGAATATGTTCGAATATGTAATAGAATGTCAAAATTTGTTTCTTAAACCAAATACCCCATATTTTATTGCACAAA